GGCTGCGGCAATTGCAGCAAGCTGGAGAAGCTCAGCATGCTTTGGATAAAAGCATGCTTGGGCAAGAGGTTGAGGAAGAAGAGATGCTTATGGCAGTGAGGATTGCAGTTGTCTGCATGTCAGATCTCCCTGAAGACCGTCCTTCCAGTGATGAACTTGTCCCAATGCTTTCTCGTCTTCACAGTTTTTGATGGTGATGTGAATTGCCTGTTGGGACCTGTTAGTCATGTGCAGGTTTGAGGGCTTCATTAATGGAGTATCTCACTTCATTTTCCTTGCTGTGGGAAAAAACCGGCAAATACTTGAGGCTCTCAGACTGATTCATTGTATATGTATTGGAAAGAAGCAAAGTGGCTTGTTCATGAAAATCTTAGACAAGGTTTGCTAGGTTTCTAGGATGCAGCGGGCAATGAGATATACTTTAAAGAGAAAAATTGTAATTGGTTGTGAGCACCAGATCACCCTCTTTAAATTGTGAGCTAAGGTTCCTTGTAATTTCGCTCACTTGGATGAAAGAATTATTTCGCAGGGGACGGGAGGTGCAATGTAAATTTCACTTGTATTAATGTTATGCTGGAGGTTCTTGGGGTGTACTATACTGCTGGAAATGCCTATTTTTAGGAAGCAGTAGACTTGGAAGGTCAGTTACCTTGTCTCCGTTTGTCTAAATCACCCCACTGTCCCACATGTTTTAGAGTAGCAATGATCTTCCACTCTTATAGTGTTACATGCCTCTATAATACAAGAAATACTGTCCAGAAGTAGTGAGATTGTTGAATGAATGAGGTAAACATGTTTGCTTCATTCTCCGTAGGAAAAAGATTTAGGTTGCATATAAGGAACTAAAAGTGGAAATATTAAGCATGATTAAACACTATTGCTCTAATAACATCAATTGCCATGACTGACATGTACGTATATACAAGTCTTTTCTTTCGACATATGCTTTTTTAAGCTCATACATACCAATGACGAAAAAAGTTAAAATCTTCGCTTGCATAGGACCTTGGTTGTGATGGGCTGGTGGCAATCTGGATCAATGGGTCGAGTTTGGGTTAGATTTCGGATTGTGCTTAAAAACTATCAAAAATAGTGTAAAACTTAATGTTATCACAAAATATGATATTTGGGTCAAATTAGGTTGAGTTCAGGTTGTTTGGGTTTCTCTCAGTAACTTCGGAATGGGTTGTCGGGTCGGGATTGCCATCCCTGCTTAAAAGAATCCTTCATTTCCATTTGAACTTACCAAAACAAATTTTCTTTGAATTCTAATCGTTCTTGAGAGTAACGGAAAAGAGGATGGAACTATAATTGTAATAAAGCCAGTTAACAATCTATCAAAGCAGTTAATTAGTTATTATTTAACTCGTCAGCTGATTGAGTTTTGACCAGTGATAAACATCCTTCTAATATCAAATTGTTTATTTAAAGAGGGGAGGGAACTAGGGAAGGGTAAGACTATTATTTGCTAATGAAGGGGTTGAATGATGATAACATGATATCCAATTAAGAAAATTGAAGAAAGTTATTATATATGATGAAGTGATGTTACTTCATGTAATAATATATAGATAATTGAACTAAGAAAACTTAGTATTCTAATGATAAATGGTTGTATAAATGAGCTGTCTGAGAATTATATGGGTGCATTATTCTCCTCGGTACGAGCCTTAATTTTGACTAATCCCTCACTCCATTCCTTTTTATTTGTTACGTTGTGGCTTTTATAGTCTCCAATATACATGACCACGGATATCTACAATTATATTCGAGTAATATTATTAAATAATTGTAAAAATATATTTTAAGTCAAATCTAATAAGATCTCGATCACACGATAAAGTTTTAATGCTTATAATAGTGAGTTTTCATAATCAAAATCTTTAAACGTTGTCCATAAAATAAAAGTTAAAACGTAACAAATAAAAATGAATAGAAAGATTAGTATAGTCTCATGATAAACTCAAAATGTATAATTTGTCAACATAGAGCAAAATATTAATCAAAGAAAAGTCTACTGGGAAGAAATTAAATAATAACCATCTGACCAGGATATGATTAACTTAACCCAATTTGTGCATCTATTATATGCAGAGTGTGCCGGCATTGACGGGAACATAGAAGAGTTCAAGTATCCTTCATAAGTTTAAGCTAAACCAACATAATCTCCTTTCATTCCATTACATTCATTATTACAGTAATAATAGTTACAAACATGAGAGTTTCTTCCATTAGTTTATCTCTGATACTAATCCTGATTGTTAGGAATGCCTTCATGTCAACGGGTCAGAATACTGGCGGGTCACCGCCACCAGCAAACCAAACAACTACAATTGCGGCACCACCACCGGCAAACCAAACAACAACAGCAACACCATCACCAACAACCGCGGGTAGGGAACTAAGGATTGCGGTTCCTGTGAGTACCTACAAAGAGTTCGTAAGCATCACCACTGATCCTCTCACTAAGAAACAGAAGATTGATGGCTTTTCGATTCAAGTCTTTGAGGCTGTCGTTAATACAGCTTTGAGCAGTCCCTTTGACTATAAGCTGATCCCTTTTGCTAAGCCGGATGGAACATTTAACGGAAGCTTTGATGACATGCTTAAAGCAGTCAATGATCAGGTTCATAAACTGCTAAATATATAAAGATAACTTTTATGACTTTGAACAACAGACCAAATTATAGTACTCTTACATGTATCTAACAAATGCATTGTGTATGTAATGAGCAGGAATATGATGGGGCAGTGGGAGATACAACAATAAGATATGATAGGTCGCAGTGGGTTGATTTTACTCTGCCTTATTCAGACACAGGAATAACAATGATGGTTTCTACAAAGCAGCAGCACCATAAAAGCACCGGAATCAAGTTGATGCCTCTGATAAAGGGTTTGGTGTCTGCTGCACTTGCTTTTTGCTTTGTTAGTGCTCTCATTTTTTGGTTCGTGGAATTTAAGAATGACAAAAGTAGACAGTCACAAGCACCATCAGGTACCAACCCACCAGGACAACGTTCAAATAACGATGACTACTGGCGGAGTAAGTACCCTCATCCATCTCTTTTCTTCATATTTGGTACTACTATCCTGCAATGCTTAATTACACTTCATGATTTAAATGTACAAAGTTTAGTCCATCCAAATGTTGTTTTGTCTGACAGTAGTTGTTCAATTAGATGACCTTTTTTTTTTTTTTAAATCATTATTGTTTATGTTTGCCTCCTTTTGATGGTGAATGCAGGGGAAACATTGAGAGCAATAATACATACAAGGCTTGTGATTGTAATGTGTTTTCTAGTGTTGTTGTTTTTGACGTCCTGTTATGCGGCCAGCTTGACTTCATTGCTGACAGCACAGTGGCAAAGAAGTTCAGTCAAAACAATAGATGAGCTCATACAAAGAAAAGAAAATGTAGGGAATCAAAAAGGATCCTTTGTTCCTCGCTTGCTGATTCAAAGAGGGTTTTCAGAAAGTCAAATTTATACCTATGATACAGAACAGGAAATGATTGATATGCTGTCTAAGGGTACCGTTGCTGCTGTTATTGACGAAACCCCATATCTCAAAGTTTTCCTCTCTAAGAACTGCAATAAGGGCTATAATCTTGTCCCTTCCTTCGATCTTCACGCAGAGGGATTCGGTTTTGTATGTATTTCTTATCTTTCTCACTTCTAATAAGTACATAACCTTGCATACTGATATGAACATGTCCATTTATATGTAGAAGATTGCAAAATATGCTAATGATGTGAACATTCTCCAAATTATAGGCTTTCCAAAAAGGGTCTACCTTGGTACAAGATATGTCAAAGGGGATATTAAAATTATTGGACAACAGTGTATTGGCAGATATTCAACAGAGAACAATCGGCAATCTTGAAGCATGTGAAAATGAACCAGATGTAACTGATCTTGATTCCAATCTATTGGACTTCGATACTTTGTGGATCTTGTTTGCCGGGGCAATAGGTGTTATAATTTTGGTGATCATCTTGTATATGGTCTACTTAGGAACCACCTGTGATACTGTTAGAAGAAGAGTTGCCTTTCCATGCTACCTACTGCCACATTACCAAGAAAGGAAGAATTAACCTGCCTAATTGAGCTATGCAGCGTCAGAGTGTCCTTAAATTAGTTACTGAAGATCCATGCGTCTGTGCGTTTTGTGTGATGGATGAGTGATTCATTTTGTATGTCTGATGAGGTTACATGTTTACAACAAGATGTGTAAGGTCAACCAATAGCTAGAAACCTATGTCAATTGTGCCAGTAATTTTCCGCTCTATTTTTGGTTTTGAGAAAGCAATTGTAACTGTGAATTAAGTATATATACAAGTATCATCCAAAACTTCCTGCAGTAAAACTGAAATCAAGTATATATACAAGCATCATCCAAACATAACTACTGTAAAACTGAAGATCATGCATTACTACCTCTATTGCTCAACAAGGTCACTTCATAAGCTTTTTCTATCACTTCCAAACCATTTCATTTATATAGTTAATTATAGATTAGCATAATTTCAGTTTTTTACTTTTTTAAATAGCATAACTTTCTTGTCTTGTATATAAGCATATATATATCAAGCAGTTCATAGGGTGTGAGACTCAACTTTAAAGTTAATTTAGATACTAAAAACAGACAACGAAGGAATTTATACTTATAAGTTTTTTATAATTATTGGTATGCAGAGTATTGTTTAACCATCAACAACAATACTAAAAAAATATGTAGTTTTCTGACATTCTGGTAAAATATAATGCTATTAAACAAAAATAATACCCTTGTGTAGTCAAATCAGAGCATACATAATTCTCTATAAAGTAATAGGTTCGTAGCTGTATTGAGAACAACATTATCTAAACTATAATTGAAGTTTTGTTGAATAGAATGGAAAGAAGCATTAATCTTCAGTTGTTCTCCTCTGACTAAATCAAATGAAAAGGATTAGCACGTCTAATTATAAAATGAATCCATAATTTGAAGTAACATAGGATTATTAATGGACCAAACAAAGAAAAAAAAGTCTATCATCTAAAAATGGCCAGCTAATACCCAAAATTGTCATAAGTCAACCGTCTAATCCCGTTGAACGATTAACCTGCTAGAGTTTTTGTTTAACATAATTATAGGGGATCACGATAGTTTCCCATTGTTTTGAAATAATCTTGACTCAAAAGTATTAACTAGTTCAACAGCAACAACTTTTAACTGGTGTTATTTCATTTTTGAAGTCGGGATATTTGAGCTTTGTGAAATTTTAGGAATACAAATTGAAAAGTAAGATTAATGCATGAGTGGTGATCTGTAATATGGAGTCTTATTGTTTGAGTGTCCGCGTCACCAGAATGATCCTGCAGAAGATGCTGTTGATCCTGAGTCTGCTACTGCTAGTATTAGATGATTTACCCAGAGGAGGTGCTACTTCCACTGGTACAGATGATCCAGCCTTTGTAGGCTACAACTGTCCGGTGGATGGCTACTCTTACAGTGCAGGCAGCCCGTTTGAAGAAAATTTGAAAGATGCCCTTTCCACCCATCTGGTTGCCAATGCCTCGCGTTTAGCCTTCTCAAACTTTACTACGGGAGAAGGTGTTGACCAAGTGTATGCTATGTACTACTGCAGGGGCGATGTTGGTCTCCAAACCTGTCATGATTGTGTTGATAGTGCTGCAACAAAAATATTAGATGTATGCAAACTACTGAAACAAGGCATAGTTTGGTACGAGGAATGCACCTTGCGTTATGCCAACTACTCCATCATCTCCTTTGATACCCAGGATCTTAACCGTTATTTCCCAAGACATAACAACACTCCTGTTATGGGGGATTATCTCAATCAATATCAGCCAATATTTGACAGCACCATGAGAAGCCTCATTGATCAGGCAGCTAATAATGATAGCCTTACACCGCGAGGTTTTGCCACAACAAGTGTTAGACTCTCATCATCTCAGACATTAAGGGGGATGGTTCAATGTGTTCCCTTCATTACTGGCACATCTTGTCAGAGATGCCTCACAGCGGCTCTCAGGCTAATGGATCTTTGGACCACTACTATGGAATTTCTTCCAATTTGTCTAGTTGGGTTTGAGTTGTACGGATTACAGCCTTCAGCCCCTCCACCCTCTTCATCAACTCTACCAGGTAAGTGGTAACAATCTCTGGATATATCATCTCTTGCCACCACAGTGAATTACAATGTTCACACTACATATAAATTGCAATGCGATTAAATTGTTGCCTCCCTTTATATTCTTACAGTACGCTTTAAGGTTCTTATACCCCTGCTATCTGTGGTTGTAATTTTATTACTTCTCTGTGGCTTTTGGTTTTGGAAGCGCCATCCTTCAAAAGGTAAGAAGACTAAGAACTAGTAAGGTTGTATTATTCAGTTCAGTTTTAGTTTTAGTTTTAGAATTCTTGTATAATTCAGTTCAGTTTTACCTGATGATAAAAATTATCTTTGCTATTGTACTTATGTCTTTGAAGCATAATCTATATACAACTAACATACTAGTTTTTACTTTTTCTCTGTTCAGGGAATAAACATCCACCACCTGGAAAACAGCAAGACGATCCTTTCATCCATGATTCAAAAGAAAACGGTTGAGTGCCATTCATAAACTTTTTTTTGGCAAACTATACAATGCTAATTTCTAACCCCATAGTAAACTAAACTAAACTATAACACCGTTATAATCAATACGCTCTAAGTTATAACATAAAACAATGATTACAGAACCGTCAATTGAAGACAATCTAGAAGCAAATGAAAGAGGGAGGCAGCATGGTTTGGCACAGTTTACCTATTCTGAAGTGGAAGACATGACAAGTGGATTCAGGGAAAAGATAGGGGAAGGTGGTTTTGCAGTCGTCTATCATGGTTGTTTAAAAGATGGCAGCAAAGAAGTTGCAGTCAAGGTGTTCTCAAAGACCGAGGCCCCTAAGCAATTTAGCACTGAGGTTCGTAATAAGGCAACCAAATAGAAAATCATGCTCTCTTGATATCATTTATGCTGTATGATATGAGAGCTAAAGCCTTAAGAAATGTTTTTGGCACAGATTGAAGTGCTTGGTCGAATTTCTCACAAGAACTTGGTTTCTCTCGTTGGATACTGTGAAGAAGGAACCAACTTGGCACTTATTTACGAGTTCATGGCCATGGGAGACTTGAAAGCTCTTCTCTCAGGTAGGACCTTGCATCCTAAAACTTCTACAGTCCTTTATTTTTTCCTAGCTGATGCACTTGTTAATTGAACCAAATGTTTTTTTTTTTTTTTTTTTTTTTTTCCTCCTTTCAACAACAATCAATTTGATTTTTGGGTGGTTTATGAACAGAATATTCTGACTCTATAACCTGGAGAAAGAGAGTTGAGATAGCAATCGACACAGCTCAGGGTGAGAGATATAAGATAACATTCGTTTCTGCTTCTAAATCAGATTTTTTTTATCAGATCACTCAGTATATTAAAGTTTGTTGTGTAACTCTATATGTAGGACTGGATTACTTGCATCATGGTTGCAGCCCGCCTATAGTTCATAGAGATGTGAAACCCGCTAACATTCTTCTAAACAAAGAATTTCGAGCAAAGGTAGCTGATTTTGGGTTTTCCAAAATCTTCCCAGCTGAATATGTTTCAAATTTACAAACAAGGGTTGTTGGAACACTAGGCTATCTTGATCCTCAGTAAGTGAGCCATTTCAGTCATTCATACATGACTATCTTACATATTCTAACACTCTTTCATCAAAGTAATACATTGCACACTACTAATTGAAGTGGGCTAAAACTTTTATGCCACAATGATTATTACAGGTATAATTTAACAGGACAGGTGCATGAAAAAGGCGATGTTTACAGCTTTGGGGTTGTTCTGTTGGAGCTAATCACAGGGAAAACAGCAATAGTAAACAGAGTCATGAACTTGGGTCAATGGGTTAGGAGCGTGCTTGAAAGAGGGGATATAGCCAGCATACTAGACCAAAACCTGAGACACGGTGTAGATGACAACTATCTCACAGTGTGGAAAACAGTAGAACTAGCAGTGAGATGTATTCAGCTAGAAATTGCAGATAGGCCAACAATGACTCAAATAGTGACAGAACTCAAAGAGTGTTTGAACATGATGAACACAGAAAGTTCTAGTTCAGCTAAAGACTCTCTAGAGATGATGAGCGCAGCTATTTCAAGTAGTACGATGTCTCCCACACCACGCTAGCTAGCTAACACGAGTCACTTTTTAATTTTTTGAAAGAAAGCTAGCTTAAACTTCTGTTACGTACTCGTCCCATTCCTTGACTTAAAGCATCAAGCCTGTATTAAACTTTGTGTATTCTTGCTTCTTTTTGAATTGATTTTTGTTCCAAATAGGGTATATCCTTGTTATAGTGAGAAAACTTTAACGAGTTTTTGTTATGATTCCAAGCACATTTTTTTTTTTTGACGGGATTCCAAGCACATTATGATTGTCAAATATGTTGTTAGGTGAAATGGCTAGGTACGAATACAATAACCAAGAACATAAATAACTCCGTATATTTGTACAGCCCACCATATACAAAAATGATGTTATAGTGCAATTTTTTCCCCAGTTTTTAGATAGAATGTACTTCATTATTTACTCAGACTTCTAGATTTGAAATTTTGAACACACAATTAAAGAAGTTCCCTCTTGCTTAAATTTAATAGCAAGGATTTTTGAACAAGTTATACAATTAACTAGAGATAGAAAATGAAATAAACTATTGTTGACTAGCTTAAACTTTGAATAGATTGAAATATCTTGATTGCAGGTAGAAAAAAATTTGAAGAATCACTTTAATAAGCACTTTTAAAATAAGATAAGGTTATCATTTCCTCATAGTTCATGCCTAGTTCATGAGTCATGACCAGGCCAGAGCCAGAGGGGTATATTTATATAATTAGCAATCAACGATTTCATCAAAGTTTATATAATTAGCATTCAACGGAGTAATTAAAATTTGTGTAATCATATGATTACGGAAATGCATTGACCAACATTTGTTTTTTTTATTTTTGTTATTGAAGTCGGAGCTGCATTTAGTATGATTAAGATTCCTCTATAATTGCTACTACATCAAGGAAGATGTAGTTTAAAAAACAACTAATTAGTACAGTAGGCACCATTTCCTCCCTGTCAAGTTCCTTACAACTCACAATAGTCAGTAGTTCCCGTCAGCGAAAACGAAATATGGAGAAGAAAAAGTAAAATGGAAAGAATAATGTATATACTTGTATGTACGTATGTAGTACGGAATACTTGTATTACATATTGACCGGAACACCAAAGTTGAAAAGGAAAAACACTAAAAAACATAAATAAATACAAACAAAGATATAGATTTTGTTATATATTGATGTGAAGAAAATAGAGATGGTTGAACTGATGATTAAGAACTTTTCTTTTGTAAAAAAAACATGTCACGTAATAAAGGTTAAGATAATGCGACAACTAATTTCAAATAGAATATTAGTAAGATCCACACTCCCGCCTCTTAATCTAGACATTGTTACATCTACCCATTAGAGCCTCCGGCCAAGTACTGATAGGCTATTTAAATATACAAGTATATGTTTGAGAATAATGGAATGAATTAATTACTAATCTCTACTAGAGATAGGTAATTTAGCTAGTTGGTAAACCAGGTTTTTCTTTCCCCTTGACTTCAATGCCATGCCTCCAGGTATGAAGATATACAATCTTCTGAAACAAGGCATTGCTTTTTATGGGGAATGCACCTAGCAGGCTAGCATTTTGCTAACCACCAGTCCATCACAAATTTTGAGCAATCGGTACCACCCACACTTGATAGTGTGATAAGAGGCCTTATGAATCAGGCTGCTAATTACGCAAGCCTCAGACTCCAGGGGCTTTGCCCACCATACAAGCCAGCATCTCATTATCACAGACCTTATGGGGGCTTGCTCGAAGCGCTCCAGTCTACTGGTGCCTCTTTTCAGATATTCGTTGGGGTTGCTCTCACTCAAACTGGACCTTTGGGCCAACAACATGGTGTTCCTCCCAATTTCCCTTAACCATGTAACTTACTAACTTGTACTACTAGAATGCTGTAAAAAGGTTGCTAAGCAAGCAGTTCAGCAGTTGCCATGGTTACTTGGATGACAGCAGAGAAGTTGAAGTCAATGTATTTCCAAAGAACGTGCAACTAAGCAATTTAGCATTGGTTTGTACTTTGTAATTTTATAAAACCAAATAACGAACTATTCTCCCTAGACATAGGCTTATGAATACTGATAGGAGATGATGCAACACATACTTGGAAGAATTTCTCACAAGAACTTGATTACAGTAGTTAAAATGTAGATGATGGATACTGTAAAGAAGGAACAAACTTGGATTTATTTATGATACAGACCAGACTTAGGGATTGATCCTAACGGAGCTAATTACAGGAAAACAACAATTTCAACACGTGAGTTTGGGTTAATGGGTTAGGATCATGTATAGAGATGGGAACTTAGGCAGCACACTAGACCTTAGGTTGAGACAGAATATAGATGACATACATAGTTTAAAAAACAGATGAGTTAGCTGTGATATGTGTGTTCAGTTAGACGGAGCAGAAAGACCAATAATGAGTCATTGTCACAGAGCTCAAAGCGTGCTTGAAAGTATAAAATCCAAGGAGTTTCATTCCAAAAACCTAGTAAACCTATTTCAATTAGTACAATGCCTTTCATACCACCCTAGCTAATACTCTTTCTGTTACGCTTCTACCATTTCCTTTCACACTTCTCAGACTTATTTAACTTTGCTTCTTCTAGCTTCTAATTATTCTGGCCTGTACAGAATGTATCAGTCTTCTATGCAGAATTCTTTCAAGTGACATAATTGACAGTGTACATTAGCCCTGCTATCTCAGAATCTCAGATAGACTGACTGTCAAAACAATCAGATTTTCTCCCACGATTCAATAGTAGATTTTTTTTACCTGAAAACAATAGCCTCTAAATTGTCTTGAATCCAACATGAAGAAACTGCATTTCCGGAAGTTATCATTAATTCTTGATTCTTCCCATCATTCTGCCTAACAAACAGATGATAGGAGAACGCAGCACGAATGTTGAGATGTTGCTAGCATAAAGCTTCCCAAAGACATTAATGCTAGCAATTTTCTATCTCTTACATGTGATAAATATCAAATGTCCCATAAGTCCAAAACATAGCCTCATAACACAACAAAAACAATGCAAGCCAACAAAAGGCTGAAGATTACTCGCCCAGTATATTTAACAGGCTTTCACGCCAGACTAGGGAGAATGCTTTACAGTAGAATCTCAAATTCTGAATGCTCTTATCAGACCATTGGCCTATCAAAAGTTAAATGGCTTATACAGGAAATTCTGGGCAACGAATAATGGATAGTAGTTCTGCAAAATGCTCACTTTTCATTTACTGAGTTTTTAAAAAAAAAAATTCAAACTAGATACATGGTAGAACAACAACCAGCTAAACTACAACTCTAGAAAAGAATTGATCCCCTCAACACAAGAAAAGAGGGAAAAAAAAATTTGTACACACAACCACCTAAATCCAAGTGCTTTCAAAAGATCTAGGGCAAGCACAATATATTTTGAGTTCCCCCAGCACTTGTTATGCACTCAAACTGCTTCTCAACATTCTCCAGTTAGGAACAACATGAAAATATACAAAAGAAAAAGAAAATACAACTCTACACAACCTATTCTTAAATACAGCAACACCAGCTCCAAAAATATAGTACAACACCCCCCCCCTTCCCTCTCTTCTTTTCTCTCCTCCAAAAAACCAAAACTCTTTTCATATAACTTCTATCCTCTTGAATCAGACAACAAGGAAAGTACCTCGGGATCATCGAAATTTGACTCCTTGGCAGTATCAAGAGGGGTTCTATTTTCTCCATCCACAGCCTGCGGATCTGCACCCCTGATGTGATTCGACAAATTAGACATACATCAGTAAGAATACAATATATTATGAAATGTAAGTTCAAAAATTATCCCCTACAGACAGCATGATACTTGCAAAAGCATACATTTAACAGATGTCCTCAAAGGAACAACAGAGACACACATGTACCAGATGTCCTCAAAGGAACAACAGAAACACACATTTAGGCAATGCAAATAAACCTCTCTGCTTCTGAGCTACAAGAAGCAGAAGTGCTTTAATATGTACACAAAGCAAAGGAACTACAACCAAATTGTGAACTTAAATCAGGAAAGAGATTCTAGAGAATCAAGACACTGTTTTCACAAAGGAACTTATATAGGCAAGCTCCAAACTATAAAATAGAGGGGGCGGGGGGACTCTGTTATCCATCATCTTCCCTCTATTGCAAGCTCCACCAACTCACTGAAAAACAACATTATCAACCTCTCTCTCCCTCTTTGCAACTCCTCCTTCTGCCATTTAACCAAACCACACCCAGCAAATATACCCCACCTACCCCCCTTAGCCACCGATGCAACCTTCACCTTCCTCCCTCTTTGCAATTGCTCCTTTCTCTCTGCACCTCTCCTTCCTCCTTTTCCCACTCTTCATACCCTCTTCCACCTTCCTCCTCCTTCCTCTAGGAGTTAACCCAACCTCTGCCCACCTACACCCAGGCGATCCAGCAAAGTCACACACCCCCCTCAGCTGCTGGTGCAACCTCCTCCTTCCTCTCTCTCCACACCTCTTTGATACTTCCACTAGCTACTTAACCCAACCCCTATCGCACCTCTCCTGCTTTCAATCTCTTTCCCCAATCTCAATCTTGCATCTTTTTCTCTTCTCCTCATCCCCATTGCACAACCAGCAGCATTGTGCTGCCATTGGAACTTTCTGGCACCACATCCAACAAAAAGGAGGGTTTTGATTTAATTTTTAGTTCAAATGCAACTCTCTACTGTCAGTCATTAATGCTTCAATAGAAAAGGTACAATTTACTCACTCAACAGACCTAAAGGGCAATGTGTATAGCTTCCAAAAACAATAGGTACAACTTGGAAAACTGAATAATACAAGGCCACTATGTAGATATTTCTAACTGAACACAAGACAGCATAACAGCTAATGCAGAAAGAAATTTAAAGATCACCTTGTGAGAAGCAATCTTGCGGCTACTGCCTTCCTTTTCAGAACACATCGATGAAGTGGTGTCTGACCTCTAGAGTCAGATGCATTTACATTTGCGCCATACTGCAGAAGGAGCTCCAACATGCCTATGTCAGCATATTCGCAAGCAAGGTGGAGCAAGGAGCATCCATCTAGATCCTCCATGCTCAGTACCTCATTTTCAGCAGATACATTAGATGAGCTCTCAGAGGACTTGCATGACAAGTCCCCAGTCCACTGACTAATGTTGGGTCCATGGCTGGTCGGCTCTGGCAACCGCATTACCTTTGCAAGGGTTAAAGAAGAGCTTGCGGATGTCAAATCATACACCGCATTAACGTCTGCTTCAAAGTTCACAATATATCTATATACCGCTTTTTTGTCATTATTACGCACACCTTCCCAGATTTGTTGTGCCAATAGTCGAAGATGTTGTGTGTCCTTTGGCTTCCGAACAAAAAGCTTATCAGCATACTGTTTCATCGGCAAGACAGAATATAAAAAATTTCAGTTGAATTCATAA